TGAGAAGGAATGGGGGGGGGGGAATAAAAAGTAATTTGCTGTAAATGTATTGTAATTTGCAGTCGTGAGGTGTGAAAGTGTGATTTAAAGGAATAATCATTTGACAGTATTTAAATTAGATAATTGGGACACAATAGTTTGAAACTACAGGTTCTAAGAATCATTCTTTAACCAGTTCCAAGCTCCCAAATGTGTTGTGTATTTGTAGTTGTTTTAACGTGCTAGTGACTTTAGGGAATATACACATAACAGAGCTAAAAACAGTATGGTTTAAAGAGCGGTTGGAATGGCACCTATTAGGTGACAGTTGTTCTCAGGACATCTGCTAACAGTTGAAGTTTAAAAACCTGATCTTGCTCCCATTGAAGTCAATGGCAAAACTTCTATTGACTCAAATGGAAGCAAGGCTGGACCTTAGCATGAAAATACGGACAACACTTTAAAATCTTGTTTTCCCCAGGTTTACATCATGTGGGCCCTGGCCTTGCCCTCTGATCGGCATGAGTGGAGCCTTGTGTCTGTGCAGCATCCCATGAAATGAAGGGGGTTCCTCCTTCCTCCTGTTTAAAATAACTAGTTAGTATATGTTTTTGGTCTCATGTTATTTTGAAGGTTCAAGACAACCCCACACCCTGCCATCACCTCAATCCCTGCCATTCTTGAAAGAGTTGTAACTCATTAGAATTGTTGGGATATGCTGAATCGTAAACTATTTCTTCTCCCTGCCTCCCCTGAAATGATACGCCTTGCTAAAGTTTCTAATACAAATCTCATATTGAATCAAGAGAAAGGTTGTAACATAAACTAGTCAATTAAAGTTCAAAGGAGGGGTGCTGCTTTGCATTTATCTCTTAGTGGGTCCAACCCTGTGAGATGCTGAGCTCTTTCAACTCCCATTGAAGTCAATGTGGATTGAGAACACTCTGCACCTTACAGCAGACACTCAGTATCTTGAAGGATTAGGCCCCATATGTGCATCTGTGATGCCTAGGAAGAACTTGGACGTGTTAAAACACTGCCAGGCTTTAAATTGCAGTTTCCTTATACTTATTCCTTATTGTCAGTTAATTTTGTCACAAAGCTAGCATTATTTGCATATAGTTTTTATCTGTAAAGCTGAAATTGCAAGTATACTTCTGCTTTATGGAATTAAGTGTATAACACTCTGAAAGTCTTATTTAATAAGTTTTGCATTTTCAGATTAAATACATAAAAGCAGAAGGAAAAAAAGAGTGATTAAACATTGAGTAAAAACGGAATTGTATAATAAAGTTGTTGGCAATGATAATTATTCTAAATGTAGTCCAAACAGATCCAGCTGCTTAGAATTATGGAGGAGAAATCTAAAATAATGCTGTCAAAAGAAAAATAAATGCTTAGGATTTTTAGCACGGTACCTGCTGCTTATATATAACATGTTAAATTATCTTAAAAGCAATTTTCTGTTAAATAGCATTCTGTATTTAAAGAATTGAATTGTTGCCTTATGCATTTTGCTGTCCAGATTAATACAGTTTACACACTTATTTCATAAATGTAGATAACATTAGTTGATTCCTAAGTTAGCATGGGTTTAAAAACATATAGCCTTACTTTGCTTGGTTTTATTTTCACTAAACATTTAAGCAATTACAAATATGCCCCACGAATGACTGCTTATTATTTCAGAATTCAGAGTATGTTAAAAGAATGCAACTTCTAACTACATTCTTATTAGCTGACTTTACCCTTTGATATCAGCCTTAGCATGCCTAAAAGAAAACACCAAAAAAGCTCTGTCAAACAAAAGAGAACAGAACAAAAATAATGCTCCCACAAACACCAAGGAGCTATGAGGGGAAAAAAAGAACACATTTGCTCACCAGAAAAAGTGCAAATTGCATTTTTTATTCTGACTCATAAGTTTGACCCTTGTGATCACTATTTACAAAAGGAGTTAAGCAACAAAGTTTTTTTTTTATGCTCATTCAAATTAATGTCAAATTGAGGAAAAAGCTCTTTGTGCCCCCAGGTCCAAGACAGCCTCGTGGACTTCATATAAATACATATTTCTTCAGTGTGTACTAATATAAAGTAGGTTTCAGAGTAGCAGCCGTGTTAGTCTGTATTCGCAAAAAGAAAAGGAGGACTTGTGGCACCTTAGAGACTAACCAATTTATTTGAGCATAAGCTTTCGTGAGCTACATGCATCCGATGAAGTGAGCTGTAGCTCACGAAAGCTTATGCTCAAATAAATTGGTTAGTCTCTAAGGTGCCACAAGTCCTCCTTTTCTTTTTGCTTATGGGACACCGTACAATAGATGTTGTTATACTGTGGCATAGTGAATAGCTTCTTTTATTTTACTAAAGTGGCCTCTCATTCTTTCACTTGGCAGTAAAGGCATTTTGCCCAAATTACAAAATGCACATTCATTAACTAATACACAAGTTTTGCCCAAACTGTCTGCAAAAGTAAAAGCTGTGTCCGTGCCCATTTTACTTTATCTTTCTCGTAACTTTCACTGCAGCTAGCTGCTGAATTCTTTTCCAAGACCCTTTCTCATGGCAGTCATTCATGTGTATCTAGCGAAGCATCAATCTACTCACGTTATTGTGCATCTATATATAACAGAACCCTTCTGTGTTGTGGTAACCTTTCAAGCCCAACATCACAGAACATTGATAACACACATATATATCTAAATATTTTACAGTGCGAATGAATTTGCATGTCTTTTAGGCAGTTTTGTGTTACAGAAATGTTAATATATTTTCCTTTTAAAAAGGTTGGAAGTAAATCCCACAATCCTAGGAGAATTTTGGATGCTGGCTATTTGCGATTAGCTTTTGGCGATTTACTCTTAAGATTTCTAGCTGAATTTAACAAAAGTATGATTTCTGAAAAACTGCTGCTGGTTCCTCATTAAAACTACAAATTTCATAACTGAGTGAGATTTCACACAATTACATGATACATTTCTCCTTTTAAAATGCAATGGTTGAAACATCAGAAACAATTAGCAAAAAAAGATTAAATTAATTCCAAATGAAAGTAATCCATCTGCCAATAACTCAGCCTCAGAACTACATTTGTCAAAAGAATTTCTATAGGCTACAGGGTAACTGGATAATGGTTAACAGGCATTTTTCTTCAAGTTGTCATAAGTGCTTGAAAAATGGGGAGGGGGGATTAGGGGCGGATAGAACTGGGAAAAAACAAACAAAAATCCCACCAGACCTAATCAGTGGCATGCTCGTGTGGAATGAGATCTGCAGTATTTGTACTAATAAAATATAAGGCTCAATTAAGCTTTACTTTGCAGTTTTCAGGCTAAATTTAACTGATTTAGTGATTTGCAGACGACTCCTAAAAATAAATAAATAATCCAAATACATATTAGTGCAACTGCAATAAAATATATTTTCAAATGAATCCTGTTGCTTTCTTCATTTATTGTGTAATTACTGTAATCCTTCCCACCTTGTTTTCAGTATTTCTTAATCATTAAGTCGGAAGCATGACAGCAGTGCCAGCCCTGGCGTGATTCTCTTTGACTAAAACCTTGTAAATTAACACAATTAGCACAGCATCATCCTGCTAATTAACTTCCAGTGTCTGGTGCAGCGGTTTTGCAAACAAGGAAGAGAGGGAGTCAGAAGGGAATAAACATGCCATTCTGTTACCAAACTGTGTGCTGTGTTAGGTTTAGCTCAGTGAGGCTAAGCTGGCCATGTCAGATGCCAGAGTCAAGCAATGAAGAGCTAAAGGGGTTGGGGGGAAAAACAGGAGGGGGTAGAAGCTGTCAAAATAGACTGCAGTAATTCAGAAGGGAGCTAGTGCCACAGATGCTTCATTTAGACTAGGCCTCCTCCTTATCAGGGAATCTGTGCCAGAGGGCGCAAGACTGTTTGCAAAAATCACTTTTGGTAATACGAGAGAGATTAAGGTGGCCTATTTGATACAGCTGTACAAAAATCAGGAACTGTCTACCATACACAGGTAAGAGTTGGAGGGGTTATTATAATACTTGTAAATTGCTCTTACTGTGTATGATGGATTTAAAAAATCATCCCATTATTTGCGAGATGAATTGCTTTAAAGGGATAGTCACACAAGCACATTTTGTTATTTAGTTTACTGTACTGACAGGGCTGATAGCCAGCAGTGTGTGTCACCGAACTTTTAGGGGCTAGACTGCATTTCTTTTCTTTTTTCGGTACCCTGGAGGCTCTGGGGTGGGGGGGAGAAAGAAAAAACAAGCAAGGAGACCGACAGACAAGTAATGCTTGTTTTTTTTTCCCAGAGCCTCAACAACAGAACTGAGAGGCAGAAAGGAGCCAGTTGTAATTCATACCGAGTTGTAGGCTTTGTGTGATGAAAGCGACGGAGCGCTGCCTGGGAGATTGCTTTGCTGCACTCCACGAAGCAGATTTGAAACTGTCGTGGACCACTTTAGATGAGAGTTGGATTATGGAATGACCTGCTATGTCTGTGTCATATTGTTCTGCGCAGGGTGCATTATACTGTGCTAACTAGGTGTTCAGTACCAAATAAGAGAGGTATCCTAGATGTGATCTGTCAGCTGTGTCTCATATTTTTATATTGGTTAAAATATAAAACTGAAACTGTGATAAGAGAAGACAGAACAGTTGGGTATCTTGTATGTTAACAAAAATCCACACTCTGGGTACTTAAAATATATTGGGTCTTGTTTAATTACTTTAAGTAATCTGGCTTTAAGAAAACAAATCTCCCCCCCCCCCCCCCATCTAAATTAGCAAAAGTACGGCTGTGTGTGTGTGTCTATATTAAACAAACCTGACTATTGATAGTGTTTTACAAAGACATTCAATTGCATGTGTAGTGTGATTTTTTTTTTTTTAAATCTATAGTATAAATACAGTTGTCACTATGCAGGTAACTAAAGAAATATAAACAGATAACACTTTTAAAAATTCATTTTCAGAGCATCTGAAAATGGCTCAGACCACTGTTAACTGTGTTTTCCCCCCAACCCTAGGCTTGAAGATGCAGTGGACGCCGGAGCATGCACAGTGGCCAGAACAGCACTTTGATATCACTTCGACTACCCGGTCTCCTGCTCACAAGGTGGAAGCATACCGTGGACACCTGCAGCGCACCTATCAATATGCCTGGGCCAATGATGACATCTCTGCTCTGACTGCCTCAAATCTATTGAAAAAATATGCAGAAAAGTATTCTGGTATTTTAGAAGGCCCAGCCGACCGACCCATCCTTAGTAACTATTCCGAAGCTCCGACAGCACTGGTGAATGGTCGGAAGAATGAAAATGAACCCTGGCAGCCTTCTTTGAACTCGGAGAGTGTTTATCCTATGAACTGTGTCCCGGATGTTATTACTGCCAGCAAAGCTGGAGTAAGTGCAGCCCTCCCTCCAGCAGATGTCTCTGCCAGTATAGGGAGCTCACCTGGGGTGGCCAGTAACCTGACAGAACCTAATTATTCTAGTAGTACCTGCGGAAGTCATACAGTACCTAGTCTTCATTCAGGACTCCCATCTCAGGAATATGCCACAGGATACAATGGATCTTATTTACATACTAGTTACAGTAGCCAGCCAACACCTGCACTTCCCTCACCTCATCCATCCCCTTTGCATAGCTCTGGCCTCTTACAGCCACCACCACCGCCACCACCAGCCCTAGTCCCAGGGTACAATGGGACTTCTAACCTCTCCAGTTACAGCTACCCATCTGCTAGTTATCCTCCTCAAACTGCTGTTGGGCCTGGGTACAGCCCTGGTGGTGCCCCACCTCCCTCAGCATACCTGCCTTCAGGAATTCCTGCTCCTACTCCTCTCCCCCCTACCACTGTACCTGGCTACACCTACCAGAGTCACGGTTTGACGCCCATTGCACCATCAGCTCTGACAAACAGTTCCGCAAGTTCTCTCAAAAGGAAAGCTTTCTATATGGCAGGGCAAGGAGACATGGACTCCAGTTATGGAAATTACAGCTATGGCCAACAGAGATCTACACAGAGTCCCATGTACAGAATGCCCGACAACAGCATTTCAAATGCAAACAGGGGGAATGGCTTTGACAGAAGTGCTGAAACATCATCCTTAGCATTTAAGCCAACAAAGCAGCTAATGTCCTCTGAGCAGCAAAGGAAATTCAGTAGCCAGTCCAGCAGGGCTCTGACACCCCCTTCCTATAGTACTGCTAAAAATTCATTGGGATCAAGAACAAGTGAATCTTTTGGGAAGTATACCTCCCCAGTAATGAACGACCATGGGGATGAGCACAGGCAGCTCCTCCCTCACCCAATGCAAGGCCCGGGACTTCGTGCAGCTACCTCATCCAACCACTCTGTGGACGAGCAACTGAAGAATGCTGACACACACCTCATTGACCTTGTAACCAATGAGATTATCAACCAAGGACCTCCTGTGGACTGGAATGACATTGCTGGCCTAGATTTGGTAAAGGCTGTCATTAAAGAGGAGGTTTTATGGCCGGTGTTGAGGTCAGATGCATTCAATGGACTGACTGCTCTACCTCGGAGCATCCTTTTATTTGGACCTCGGGGAACAGGCAAAACATTAATGGGTAGATGTATAGCTAGTCAGCTAGGGGCCACGTTTTTCAAAATCGCTGGCTCTGGGCTTGTCACAAAGTGGTTAGGGGAAGGAGAAAAAATTGTTCACGCTTCCTTCCTCGTGGCAAGGTGTCGCCAGCCCTCAGTGATTTTTGTTAGTGACATTGATATGCTTCTTTCATCTCAAGTGAGTGAAGAACACAGTCCAGTAAGTCGGATGAGAACCGAGTTCCTTATGCAGCTGGACACTGTTCTAACTTCTGCTGAGGACCAAATAGTAGTAATTTGCTCCACAAGTAAACCAGAAGAAATAGATGAATCTCTTCGAAGGTACTTCATGAAACGACTTTTAATCCCACTTCCTGACAGCACAGCGCGGCACCAGATAATAGTACAACTGCTCTCACAGCACAATTACTGTCTCAATGACAAGGAGGTTGCACTGCTTGTCCAGCGCACAGAAGGCTTTTCCGGATTGGACGTGGCTCATTTGTGTCAGGAAGCAGTGGTAGGCCCACTCCATGCCATGCCAGCCACAGACCTTTCAGCCATTATACCCAGCCAGCTGAGGCCAGTTACATATCAAGACTTTGAAAATGCATTCTGCAAGATACAACCTAGCATATCTCAAAAAGAGCTTGATACATATGTTGAATGGAACAAAATGTTTGGTTGCAGTCAGTGATACTTCTTTAAAAAAAAATTGAAATGAATGTTGGCACACACACAACCTGCTACATAGGGTATAGAACCCCTTTTCAGTAGTGTTAAAATTGCAAAGGGTACTGGGAAGACTACAGTTATTTTGCATCTAAAGAGTTAGGGTAGACTTGAAGGAAAAGTGCATCAAGCAAGAGCTGTTGATCTGAAAAACCACACATGACAGAAAGCATATGTTGATGCTCAGTTCTGTTCAAGCTAGACAACACTCACCAAGGAGCAAGGTGCAAGTGGGTTGATTTCAGAAGGACATGAACCCTGTGTGTTGATTCCATTCTGCTGTTCTTGAGATTTAGTTGCTGTCAAGTGCCTGAAGTGGTGCTTTATTTTTTGTTTGCCTCACAATTACATTGGTGGCATGTGCTAATATAAAGAGCTTTAACTTCAAACATTATTGGACTAAAGAGATGAACGGTTGTGTTGCGACAGAGAACCAGATTTTTGCTATTCTAAGAGCAACAGTATTCCTCAATCCTGTCTGTTCTGCAGTATTAAACTAAGAACAGGTAAAACAGGGTAATGGTAATCTGGACCTTAATTTCTGCAGTTCATTTCTTTTAATGTTCTGTCTGCAAAAACTCAGGAAAGTGATTGTGATTTGTACAGTACCTCAAAGGAATGTGTTGAAAGCACTATGTACTGCTGAGAGTTATAGGCTAGGCTTCAATGTTACTTTATATTAAATATGTATGTTTACCTCAACAATTGGAAAATGGCAAAGAAATTACTTTGAATGTATCCAGGAAAATACTGAAGTGTGATATGAATGAATCTTTACAATTTTAAAGTAGAAACAGAAGGATTTCCCAGTGTTAAGAAATGGGTCTTTTGCCAATTTTGGGGATCAGACCAGAGCAGAATAATTCTCTTCATGTCAGTAAACTGGAAGAGTATTTAGTATATTGCTCCTTGATAATTATGTGATACAGTCTTTAAAAGGTGCACAGATGAAAAGAGAGCCACTTAATCAGTTTATATTATCATCTGGAACGGTTAAACATGAGATTTGGTTAAACTATGACTTCAGGCATTTTATTTCTTGGCTCTAGTTGTAGTTTTGTGGTTATTTCGGTAAGGCTGAAGGGAATGGAATCATTGTAGGTCACTGGCATAGCTCTAGTTACAGGACTGTTCAGAGCAATGCAGTAGACTGTGACCAAACAATAAAAATAACAAAGCAAAACTGAACCCTCAAAGTACATTTTTTCCCCTCGCAAACTGTAAAGTTTAGTTTTTATTGTATACATATGGCTCCATTGTCCTTACTGCAATCTTCATTTAGTATCTGTTAGAAATCTTCCAGGATGGATTGTGCCCACCATTATTTCTACCTCAGTTTTGTTACATTTCTCTTGGAAAGCAAAGTAAGAAATAGAGCAAAAAATTAAAGTCAGATTACATTAGGAATGCTAACCTGCTCAACGAGTTTCAGAGAGCTGCTGTTTTCCCTCAAGTCAAGTTTCTCTCTGTAGGTTACATGCTCTCCTTTCTCTCCTCCCCCCACTACACATACTACAGAGTCTTCCTTCTGGAAAGACTAGCCAGCATGTGTGGCATTTTGCTCAATTCTTCCCCCGCCCCACAGTGTCTTTCTTTTTATCCTTTAATGCTTTATGTGCAACTCTTTTCATGACAGCTGACTGATGTTGGGTAATGTCTCTGAACAGGAGCAGAGTATGCTGCAGCTGCCCAAAGCCTCTGCCACTGCATGAGCAGAACAGCCTTGCTTTTTATTTTATTATATTTTGGTTTACTTTAAAGAGACAGTAACAAAACTGTTGCATAGCACTGGCATTGATTGTTTCTGTTAAGTAATGTACATTCAAAACCATTAAATAAATGCACTGAAAAGCCCCAAGAAGAGAGCTACCAATCTGTTACCAGATCATGTTTGTCTTCTTTAAAAAAAAAAAAAAAATTATACAGATCTCAATGTGAAATCACTTGAAACATTTCACGTTTAGAAAGCTAATGAGGGATTTCATGATATTGCTGGGAATTTGACTCTTGATTACTGCTTTCCTTTACCTTTCTTTTAAAATATAGATAGATAAACCAGAGCAAATAAACCAAAATTTAATTTAAGAAGAATTCCTGGCAAACATTTAGTCAATCTAAAGTTTATGTTTTAAACATGAAAGTACCATTTTTAAAACAGTGCCTTTCATTAAGGATACAGAAAGTAAGACTTAAATACACCACCTGCTTTTTCAACAAGTGACTAACATACACAATCATTCTTCTGACCCACTCTTTCTGCTTTCTCCCAAGCCCCCTCTTCTGCCATTTTACCTTCCTTAGTGTTGGTAAATTCTGAGATCCCCATTAACTGTAGGTTCATATTGATCTCACTGACAAGTTTTACTATTGCAGGTTGCTGACTCATTTTCTGTCTTAGACAATATATTTCATGTCTGCCGTCAAGCTGTGCTCACCTGAAAGTAGGGTGACGAGGTGTCCCAATTTTATAGGGACAGTCCCGATATTTGGTGCTTTTTCTTATATAGGCTCCTATTACACACCACCACTACCCTCTGTCCCGATTTTTCACACTTGCTATCTGGTCAGCCTATCTGAAAGGTTCAGGCAACTTTTGACAAACCAACTCTTGTTTAAACCACTTCTGATAAATCCATAATATTAACAGTTTTTTGTGACTAGTAAAAGTAATGCCAAATTCTGGACTGCACGAGTGTATTTTTCCCCACCTTTTACCTAGAACACAATTAAATGAAATTATAGATACTCATTTTGGCTTCCAGCTTTACATCATTATCTATAAAAATACACTCTGAGAAACTGACTGCTGAATTGTATCTTAATGAACATGACAGGCAGGCAGAAAAGCCAATGGGAAGATGCGAGTACCACAAGCTCAGATTCCAGGGGCTTGATTCAACCCTGCAGGCACGGAAGGCTGGAAATTTCACCCCACCGTCTAGCAGCTGCACCTGGGGCTAGGAGGTGAGTGGATTCACCCTTCTCCCAAGGAAGGGTAGTTTTTCTTGCACCTCTGCCCTTCCTTTGAGGTCTTGTTAGAGAGGGCAACCATAAAGTATGGTCAGAGCTCTGCCAGGGGAAGTTCCTTGGAAAATACACTCAGCCAGCCCTTCTCCAGTGTGTTCAGGCTACATCTTCTCCCTTGACAGAATTTAGGGCTGAGCTGGCAACTTCCAGGCCCCTCTGGTTAAATAGGGTTGTGCACGCCTTGTGTGGCTCTGATCTCCTGAAGGCGTGCTTCCAGCCATGAGTGTCCCAGCAGGAATGAAGCAATCCCCAGGACTTGAGCTCTCAAACTTGGATATGTCAGAAAGGTTAAGATCACTTTTGGGCGGGGGGGACAACCAACTTCCTCAGGCTGCAATATTTGCTGGTTTTTGAAAGAGCTTTGCAGGAAGCTGTTTGCTGTCTGTTGCAATTGGTCATAGCTGTGGGTGGGTCATGCTGCAGCTACAGAAGTGCATAAGAGAAAATAGCAGCCAGACGTACAATTTCAAGTACTGGGGTTTTCTTGGATTTTAGGGAATTTGGGGTAAGATCATTAATGAATTACAGCCATATCAGCCTATCAGCATAGAAGCCCATCAGGTCTGCTTGTAGTTTTGATAACTGAGAAGACCATTTTACATCCGCTTATGCACTTTTCTACCGCTGCAGTAACAATTCTAATAGCAGCAACAACAAAATAAAGTGGAGGAATATTTTTGCAAGCTGAAGGATCAATATCAATTCAAGGGTTTTTTTATAATGACCTTATGTGAGAGACAAATGGAAATACTCTACACTTCTGGCATGCCTCTCTCCAAAATATTTAGAACATTAGTGATGATATTGAAAAGTTTGCTGACTGAGCTGATCAATGGAATGTGAAGGCAGTTTACTTTAAGGCTATTTACTTTCACACAGAATATTTATCTATTAGTCAGTTTGTATTCCACTCAACGGCAGATAGAGGGGGCAACATGTTTTCTTGTGTGTTTCAAACCCATGATGGAGAAAATAAACCATTCCACTAAACTACGTAGGCATCTGGGAAAGCGATGCCAGCTGCCCAGAAGCTAGGCTCTGTAAAATAGTACAAGGTCATTTTACATGGGCTTGCATAGTACGTTGCTATTCAGTTTTCAGAAGAAAATAATGTTGTGTAAAACTCCAAATCATTCCAATCGTTGTTTTGTAAACTTCAGTATATTTACATTCAAAAGCAAACTTTGGAATCCATACAGGGTTTCCACTATCTGAAAGTACATACAGCTTTAGGTATAAGCCCATGTGTTTCTACTGTCTGAAAATACATACAGCTTTAGGTATAAGCCCATGTGTTTCCTCTTAACCAGTGTATCATCAGCTAGAGTATATTGTATAAAATTGAAGGATACATGTCATCGTAAAATGAGGCCACTGAAATAAACTTCTAAAATTCTCCTTTCACTTACACCAGTGTGAAATGGGTATAACCCCAATGACTTCACTGGAGTTTCACCCAGGAGAGAAGAGTTAACTCCAAAATGTATAAGCTATGTCCGTTGGTTTTTCATCATCAGATCTGCAAGCTAACATATATGCTATTTACAGCACTAACTCCCTTTCATCTTGTATGGGTGCCTATGTGTATATAATATTTATATGTACATACACACCAAGTCCAAGTAATATTTTTGTCTCTTTCCTTTGAGAAGTAAACACTTTCTTTTTGTTTAATTGCCTGCAGAATTATGTGAAGCACATTCATAGCCATGGCGGTATTAGTATTTCAAAATTCAAAAAACAAAACAAAACAAAAAACCCAGCTGTACTGGTGACTAACCAATACATGAACTGAAGCTCATACTCTGCAAAGACCTTTGGTTGACATTCGATTTTGAACCTGCCAGATGCATTTTTGTGAACCAGGGATACTGCATCTTTAATGAACAAGTCTCTACTCTTTCCCCTGTTTTTAAATACAACACAAGCAGTGTAGCACTAGGCACTGCAATTGTCAAAGACAATTAGACTGAAAGCAGGAAAATTTCACCTCCCTGTCTCAGTGATATGTAGAATGTCGGCAGTGTGGGTCAGCCTTGCCACAGAGTTGTGTGAGAATATGTGAATCAGTCCTATAGAATGTTAAATATTTATAAAATGCTTCTGTACTACACCAAGGTTGGGAGCAAATTCATTCCTTCTTGTTGTCTTATAATAGAAAAAAAGAAGCAAAAGATTATTTCCAAACCTAA